GAATTACTGAAATAAATGAACTTTTCCACGACATTCTAATTTATTGAGATGCACCTGTACATACAAAATAATCCAAATTGATTAGAAATATTTGTAATTATAATTTATAATTTATTATCATTAATTAATTTATTTGTGTGTATATATAATGAATGGTAGTAATAGTCCCTGAACGTTGATCACTGGACCGGCTAAAATAAATTTTTAGCGTGATTTGAGATAAAGAAAAAACATTTGATACCATTGCCAAATTTTATTTCTCATTTGAAATATGTTATTGAAACAATATTTTCTAAACAAACTGAGATTTTGGTCTTTCCCCAAATTTCCTGATACTTTGACCTCATAGGAGGTTCTTGACCCCTGTGGACAAAGAGAACCTCTTCACAGTGGACCACTTTCCCATTTGGTATCGCCTGGCAGCTGAAAACAAACCTGGTCAATTCTTCTTCTATGTCCCGCATGATGATATAAACAAAGGTGCTCAAAAAGTCATTGTTAAATGGATTTGTTACAATGTCACAGTTCATCAGCTACAGTAAACTATAACCTCTGTCCAACAGGGAAGAACACTTTTGTGGCGGTAACATCTGTGACAGTTACTGAAGGAAAAAGAACAGCTATTGCTGGAGGTAAGATATCCGTCTGTCATTGTTTATATGCTCAAATCTGATTTTACATTCAACATGTCATTTTGTGATCATTCAGCACGTTATTAATTATTCAAAATGGAGTAGGTTCCAAAAGTTTGAGACCTAGATTTTTTTTGGGCTGATATTAAATATTTGATTGTTTAAAAACACTAATAATTGGTAAACACTGGTAAATATAATCTTTAGCAAATCTGAAAATGAATATGCATTTTTCACACTGTGCAAAATAATGCCTGGTTGAATTTAAAATGATGGATTTTAGTTTTTAGTAGTGCTGTCAAACGATTAATTGCGATTAATCTCATACAAAATAAAAGTTTTTGTTTGCATAATATATGTGTGTGTACTGTGTATATTATGTATATATAAATACACACACAGTATATATTTTGAAAATATTTACATGTATTTACATGTCTACTGTATATTTATATTCATATAATTTATATTGTAAATAAATATATTTAATATATGAACATAACATGATTTTCTGAACTATATACATGCATGTGCGTGTATTTATATATACATAATAAATATAGACAGCACACATACATATATTATGTAAACAAAAACTTTTATTTTGGATGCGATTAATTGTTTGACAGCACTAGTTTTTAGCATATTATTTTTTTATTTATTGTGACCAAATAGTACAGAATTTTAACAACATGAAAATAATAATAAACTTATTTACCATAATTATCAACCAGAATCAGAAGAATCAGAAAGAGCTTTATTGCCAAGTATGTTTGCACATACAAGGAATTTGTTATAGTGTCACAAACTTCCAGTACACGGAGACAACAACAACAACCCTGAGGGGTGCCAGTGCTGGTGGTGCGGTTGTTGGATGTGAAAATCCAACATGTTATGAATGTTAATACTGGTGCATCCCTAATGTAGATATACATTACTTGTATATTAAACATAGATACATATATTTAAAATATTATTCTGTTTCTCAATTTGATAAAAATATACTAATATGCTAAGTAACTACTGATTGATTACAACTATAAGAAATCAAACACAGAGGTGGTTTGTTAGGAGAATTCATAGGAAAATATAAAAGTTTACATAAAATCATATTCAGTATTTTATTTTTTATGTTCCTTAAAGGGGTCCTATTATGCTCTTTTACAAAGTCTTGATTTTGTTTTGGGGGTGTACTAGAACAGGCTCTCATACTAGGTTGTATTTTTCACATATTTTACATTATTACAACACCTCTCTCCCCAGTCTGGCATGAACGGCTCGAATAGTTCCTGAATCAAATGAAGGCCCGCCTTCTGAAATACAAAATGTGCTGTGATTGGTTAGCTGGGCCAGTGTGTGTTGTGATTGGCAGCACTCGGCGCCTGGTCAGGAAATGGATTGCAAGTGACATTGTAATTTAGTTTCTTTTTTCTTGTCTTCACCACCTGGCTACTGTTGTAAAATGTTGAGAGATTCAAACAAAAAGTAATCAATAAATAAAACAAAATAAAAAATAATAAAGACTGCAAGTGACGTCGCTAGCGGAAGTGCAAGTGTCTGAGAGTGCAAGCCTGAGAATGCACGTCTGAGAGTGCAAGCGCCAGCTGCAGCCAGACCCTTCTCGGAATGTCATGTCCCTTACCATAGCCGCCTGCCAGCTTCAGTGTAAATATTGCTTAAAATCAAATCAATTTGAGCGCGATTTAAACCCGGATGATTGTAACCACTCTAAGTTCGTCTGCCTTGGGAAAGCTAGCGTGTCTCTGACACTCCAAGTGATAACACTCGTTGCCTTCTCTAGTGCAGCTCGACCAGGTCTCGTCCCATTCGTCGATATTTGTGATATCACAAATCCCAGAAAATATGCGTTGTAGTCCGAACGAGTCGTTCGTTGTAGTTTTTGTAAAGTGATTTCTGTTAAATAAAATATCTCCATTTGAAGTGGACTTTGAGCTTTGTAACTTTGCAGATCTTTTTTATGCTCAAACAGCAACATTACAGACTAACTAAAGTTGAAAAAGTGAAAAAGCATAATAGGACCCCTTTAAATCTACTTAACAGCTATAGAGTAGTTGAATATATTTGTCTTTTTGAGCCAGTTTGTAGGAGCTGTAATTGCTCCTGAACTACATCGGGTCATTTGCTCTCCAACTCTCGCTCCCAAACAAATATTTATAAATCTATGTACATCAATGATAAACTATAGCTTCTGATAGGTTCCTCATGTGCTTTAAACACACACTTCTGGAGGAAATGCCATCCACACTACGCACTCTGTGGCTTCTCCTCCCTTTCCGATAGTCGGCATCAGATCCTCCTTTTCATCCTGTTCTGGTTCCTTTGCCACCATCAGCGGCTGTTGCTGCTGGCTGTTTCTCTCTGTCAGCTGCTGCTGTTCGTGAGCCATCAGCATTGCGTATATGCAGCCGTAGGTGGCCGTTACCACCATCATCACACACACCACGCCACACACCACCCCAGCTACCACCACCGTGGCAGTCGCTCGACGCACACTCACAAGCCGGTAGCGCTGGCGCATGCAATCTCCGGCCGACCCGGCTGGTACCTGGTGGCCCTTGGCTGCAGATGGGTCCCTGGTCTCCAGATAGAGGGGGTAACAGTGTCTGAACATCTCCATAGGGATACTGCGTAGATCCTTACCATGCAAATTAGCAGGAAAGGAGCAGTTGGCGGAATCTATGCTGCCACCTATGGAATGATAAAAGAGAAAGACATATAACTTTTATGGAAATTGAAATGCAATTTAAACCTCTGGTGCTCCTTATATGGGAGTCATTGTTTAATAATATTTTTTCTTTTGTATTTTGAGAGAATTTCATGGCACTAATTAATATTTATGCAATAGTTATGATAAATTTTTCCCAATTTTTTTCAAATATTTTCTATTATTTTTCAATTATGGCAGTATTTCATGTTACAATAGAGACAATGCCTTTAAAATCCAATTTTTTAAGCCAGATTAGTGCCATCTGATGGGAGTAAAATAAGAAAAACATCTGCAATTCCATGGTTTAGCCCATAGATTCCCATATAGCTCTATATAAAAGGCCTATAAATTCTCTAATTGTTTTTAGACATAAATACTTATTTTTATGAAGTTGTTGGTTTGGATATATATTTAGACATTTTCAAAGACAACTTTTTGTAAAGGTTTAGATTTTATTTGGTTTGAAATGTTGATTTAAAGCGTCAGTTTTTGAATTATTATTACTACAGTCAAACCTGAACACAGAGAAAGCATTTTGTTACACAAAACATTAAAATTCTATAAAAATGTAACAAAAATTAACAGGAATGTTTTTTCATAGCTTAATCCTTCTGGGTCTGATCTGATTTCAACCTCTTATTTCAATTTTCTGACTCGTTATGGCTATACCGTTATAGCCATACCAATTCATTTGAATGTGTATAATTGTGTATGTGTGTGTGTGTCTGTGAGTGTGTGTATGTGTGTGTGTGAGTGGATTTGTTGGTTTTGCACTCTTGATGTTTTAAAGTTTCACCCCGTCATTGCTGTGTACTTTTTTTTCTGCATTGTGGCAGATTTGTAGATTTTACACACAAAAATGTGCAGTTTTTGTCAATTTCCCATTGATTTCCTATGGTAACCTCTTATTTCAGACTCATTTTGGCTATATGATTATAGCCATACCAATTCATTTGAGTATGTTTGTGTGTGTGTGTGTCTGTGAGTGTGTGTTTGAGTGAGTGTGTCTGTTTTGCACTCTTGATGTTTTAGAGTGTAACCCCTTCCTTGCTGTCCGCTTTTTTACTGCATTGTAGTTGAATTATTGCTTTTATTTTACATATTTGCTGTGTTACAGTCACACCATTTCATAGGTGTGCGTGCGTGTGTGTACGCTTGTGTGTGTGTGAGTGGATGTGTTGGTTTGGCACTCTTGATGTTTTAGAGTTTCACCCTGTCATTGCTGTGTACTTTTTTTCTGCATTGTGACAGATTTGTAGATTGTACACACAAAAATTCTCAGAATTTTTGTGTTTTTGTGGATTTCCCATTCATTTCCTATGGTCGGTCATTTTTGACCGAAGACCACAAGTGTGACTATTTTTTTTACAACCATTTAGCCTGTTCGAATCAAGCCCTCAATTTTGTTTGTGTGTTCACATTCCAAATGCCATAAAAGTCACCAAGTTTCGTACCATTCAGATGAAGCTGTGATTTTTAAAAAGTCAAAACAAAAAAATTTTCGGTCAAAAGTGACCGAAGAGCACCAGAGATTAAGATATTAAAATGTAAAATAAAAAAAGTTAAATGTATTGGTCTATGTTAAATATGTAGATAGAGTATATTTTAATTTATATTTTTTATATTATATTATATTATATTATATTATATTAGAATCATATTATGATTAATTTAATGGATTTAATGTTAGTCACTGAACATGGTGGACCATCTTTAAAAAACTGTAAAAAATAGTTTTAAATGCTATAAGTGAATTTAGACATCACAACATTATAATTAACACATCACAGCATTATAACTGACACTATGAAATATGGGTATTCATTTTGAGATTTGCTAAAGATTGCAATTAAGAGTGTTATTGAATTATTGAATTGAATTAAATCATGGCAAAGGTAATCTAAATGTAAAAATAGAGTAAATGAGCTTGCAAATTAAAGTCATCCGGTGAAACAAAACACTTCTTTCTGGTGATATATGGCAGTATTCTCTAATCATTCAGTCAACTTAAACCCTGTCCCTTTATTACAATCGACTGCAACTCACATTCTGATCGGCCTCCTTTCAATCAATAACTGATGCATAGAACCACTTCTCTCTCTACATTTTTTTGATAACTAATTTCATTTTCATTTACATCACAATACATTTGATATGGTTCTGTCGCTACTTTCTTTACATTGTGACTTTAAATCTCTCTAAATCGGCCGATACTGTAACTGATATGGTACAGATAAATATTGTGCATAACTAATTCCCAGCAGTGATAAATGACCTCTCTCACCTGTGTATACAATCCATTCCAGCCAATGCTTGAGGGGAATTAAATTGCAGTTACAATTCCATGGGTTTCCATCAAGCAGAAGTTGCTGTAGAGCGGTCGCTGGCTCAAGTGAAGTCCGCTGCAGAGTTCTCAGCTTGTTGCCCATAAGTGAGAGCCACACTAGATTCTGGAGCCCATCCAGCAGGTGTGTGGGCATGGAGCTGAGACTGTTAAAGGAAAGATCTAGACGCCTAAGCTCAGTCAGGCCTTTGAACTGATCTGGATTCAGTTCCTTAAGAATGTTGTCTCTTAGAACCAGTTCTGTTAGGCTGCCGAGGTCAGAGAACAAGTTAACGGGGAGCCTCACAAGGAGGTTTTCAGAGAGATCCAGGACCTCCAGGTTGTTCAAGTGTGAGAAGCTTGAAGGGAAGACACTGGAGAGAAGGTTTCTGGAGAGGTTGAGATGAAGCAGGGTGCTGAGATTGGAAAAACACCCAAGGTTGATGCTGGAGAGAAGGTTTCTGGAGAGGTCTAGATGTAGCAAGCCACAAAAATGGGAAAACCTCCCAGGTTCCACAGTGGTGAAGTTGTTATTTGAGAGGTTGAGGTAGCTTGTGTCAAAGGGAAGCTGGTCCAGGATAGAGTCCAAGGAAGCCAGTTGGTTAAGGTCACTGCAGTCTGTGTGATTTACATTGCAGGAACAGCCTGATGGACAACTTGTAGATGTTCCACAAGAGCTCAGAAGAGTCATCAAGACACCTGAGGAAACTAGAGAAAATGGAGAGGGTTAGGAAATCGTGAGAGTTGAGAAGGTTGAGGATGTTGTAATAGGTTGAGAATCTTACCTATAATGTTCATGCTGGACCGCATTGTCCACCAAACCCTGCTGTAATGGTTCCTGAGCAAACCTTTGGAGGAACATCCACTGGTCTACACCAAATGAATGCCTTCCTTCTCCATCATGATAAATGCACCAGGAAATTTATTGAATTCACTTGGAATTGCTGTAGTTGTTGCAAAACTGGTAACAAACAAAGCAAACACTGTTAAAAGAATGAGTAAAGAAGGATGGGTGCTATGATGCATGTTCTGCTGGTACAGATTTTATGCAACATTACTAATAAGCTGACTACAATTAAAATGTTCAATGAATGCCCTGTGAAGGCTGAACATATATTACATCATGAGGTCAGCACAACAGCACAGACCTGACATGAATTTGAGTCTTCAGAAGGCAAAGAAATAGTGAAAGAGAGTACTTTGTATAAAAGCTTCCCAGAGGCCCATTGCTTGTTGTGAGAGAAAAAAGCCAAGTGAAAAACTAGAGGCATTGTGAGGTTACTTGCAAAGTATATTTTCAGCTGCTTCACACTTCACATTGGTTGCATTAAACTATCAAGCATTAAACTGTCCACACTATTAGATAATAAATCAGAGCTGAGAACAACATCCGCTTTATCAGTGAAAAGAGGATCAAATTGTGCGTGCTGGAATGTGCACTTTTCATAATACATAAAATTGAATGAAATCTGTTAAAAAAATCCCAGATATTTCTATATCTGATTAAAGTGGAAAGTTCTATAGATCTAGAATAGAAAGAAAACCCTAAAGAAAATTATTAAAAGCATAGATTTAATAATTAAATGGTGTGAATTTATATTATACTAAAATTGTTGTAAAGAAGGCAATTATTCTGTCTAACGAAGTCCTAAATATTGAATAGGACAAACAACGACCACTGTTTTTTTAACCTAATCAGTGAGAAATGATTATGACTGCACTAAAAGCAAATCAGACCTGAAACATACCTTCCAGCAGTCCTCGTAGGGGTCCTCATGATTACTCCTCTCAAGACAGAGTGAGCGAATCAACAGAAAATGAAAGAAACAAGAGGAACTGGCAGCTCACAGCTTGAAAAGTCCAGAGTGTGTATGAGTGTGGGTCACATCAGTAAGTAGGACTAACATTAGAACAGTCTGTGCCTGCCTGCATGGCCAGAGAGAGAGAGATGGATGGACTGAGGAGAGGGCAGAAGAGATAAAACACCAGCTGATACAGCTTAGAAACTGGTAGCCTCTTCAGTTTTTTCATGACTCTTTGTGGTAGCTTATGATGTTGAACATATAAGGATTAATCGTGTGATATACAGCGTCAACAGATGTTGTCAAGCAAAACATTAATACAGGGTTCTTACGCTCATGGAAAACCTGGAAATATCAGGGAATTTTAAAATGCAGATTTCCAGAGATAGAAGAATCATGAAAATTCATAGAAATATTTATGGAAATTGTTAGCAAAATATTTATTTATCTTGTTATGAAAAGATCTAAAATATTTACTTCATTTGAAATTGTGAGTACAGTCTCAATAAAAGATTTTTGTCCAAAATATATATTTTTTTGTAATGCTCAGCACAGAAAAATATTTAATTGACTAGAAATATGAATGAAATCTCTATAATATTATATAAAAAATATCCAGTAATCACAAACAACTGAAAAATAATGGAAAAAATCATAAAATATTTAATATATTATAATATTATATTATATATTTATATATTAAATATATTATTATAAAAGTATTTATGGAAGTTGTCATCAAAATATTATTTTGTTATGATTATGTGTTGATATGACCAGCTCTAAAATATTTAATTTCACTAGAAATTGTCTATAAAAGGATTTTAAAGTCGCTGGAAACATTATTGTAAATATTTATGGTTGTTTTTATCCAACATATATATTTTTTGTAATGCTGTGCACAAAAATATTTAATTGACTGGAAATAAGAATGCAACCTCTATAAAAGGATCTTAAAAGTTTTCTGATTTTCCTTTTTCTTCCATGTGCAGCTATTGGAATGCAAGCATCCCTGGACTTGCTGGAGAGAGTGCTCCTGTCTATTGCCAAACAAGTGAGTTTTACCTCAAAAATATTCATATTAGATATTTGATATAATATGTAATATGTGTACATTTTCTGTTGAATTTTTGTACATTTCCTTCAACCCAAAAACACTATGCAATGCTATGAGTAATTCAAAATGAAACTCATCAATAAAAAAAATCAATACGGAAAATTCCTTCATGTTAACACACCACACTGTACTGAGCTGTACTTTACCGACTTTTCTTGAGTGTGTGTAGTGTAAAGGGAGACTCTATGACAACAATCTAGCAAATATTAAGTGTTGTGGTCCTGAACTGACGAATGAGCAAATAGTGTTTGTCACTGGAGATTTCTAAGCGTACATGTACATGCTCACGTCTGCAGGCCTCCAAGCAATTTATCAAGATGCTTGCTCCTTACCAAACACTTTTTTATTCAGTGCGACTTGCCATATGACTTATGGTCCCTTCTGGGGTTTAAACCTAGGACTTTTCAAACACCACCCCTGTTTCACACAAGGACTCTTTTCTTGTAGTTTTTGTCATCTAGTGCAACACAACTCTCCAAAACATTTAACCTTTTCCTACTCGTTTTCTTATTCTTCTTCCCTTATTTACTCTGGTCAGCCAAACAACACAGATGTAAGTATTGCATTGTTATTTCTAAGGCATGTTCAACTAATATGGTACACTTTGGTGTCCCATTACTTTTTTAAGTACACACAACCCCCCACAAATTTAGGCATGCACCAAATTAGTTGCAATTTTTATTTACAACCACCATTTGTTAGCAAAAAACTATTTTTAGGCCCTAATTTGTACCCCATTCATAGTGTCGTAATGTACAGTTAATTGAGTAATTTCACAACTGTAGTGTTTTCTTAGTATAATGCATTTGATAAAATGTTCTTGTCCATTTACTAAAGCCCTCGCGGTTGCCTTCTTCCTCTTTGCAGTGCAGTGATGTGGACGGGATATGTCCTCTCAGCTGTGAGAGCGTTGTGAGTGAAGCTAATTGACTCTTCTTTGTGTTATCTTTATGTAATCTGAATCGTTGTTCTGAATCAGTTTACACGAACCGATTCACTAGAATGAATTCTGATCCAGTTCAACAAGGGAGATTGTCAATTCTAATCCATCTCTGTTTTTCACAGGATGTGAACTGTTACCTTGTTGACAATAATGGCTTCACACTGGTCTCAAAGGAAAAAGGGGATGTGAGTATTTTAAACAGTTCATTGAACACACATTGACCTTTTGTGACAACATGCCCCAACAGCATTTATTCACAGAATAGAAGCTAGAAGATGTTGACTTGTGTTAGGTGACGGCTTTAGCTGTGCTCAGGTGTTTCCAGTGCCCAGGGGGTTTGGTGTGAAGGGCAGGTGACAAGATGAGGACTCGATAATGTACCACAAGCTTGTCCTTGGAGCGAATAGATGGGGTCTCAAATGAGACGGTGATTGAGAGAATGAAAATGGACCTGGTGAAAGTGGATTAGCTGGGAAAGGTTGCCACATCTTTTTAAATTTTATCTTTTGGGCTTTATTTATAGGACAGTAAAGTGCATACAGAAAATAGGAGCATCGTATGACAACAATCTAGCAAATATTAAGTGTTGTGGTCCTGAACTGACGAATGAGCAAATAGTGTTTGTCACTGGAGATTTCTAAGCGTACATGTACATGCTCACGTCTGCAGGCCTCCAAGCAATTTTTCAAGATGCTTGCTCCTTACCAAACACTTTTTTATTCAGTGCGACTTGCCATATGACTTATGGTCCCTTCTGGGGACTTTTCAAACACCACCCCTGTTTCACACAAGGACTCTTTTCTTGTAGTTTTTGTCATCTAGTGCAACACAACTCTCCAAAACATTTAACCTTTTCCTACTCGTTTTCTTATTCTTCTTCCCTTATTTACTCTGGTCAGCCAAACAACACAGATGTAAGTATTGCATTGTTATTTCTAAGGCATGTTCAACTAATATGGTACACTTTGGTGTCCCATTACTTTTTTAAGTACACACAACCCCCCACAAATTTAGGCATGCACCAAATTAGTTGCAATTTTTATTTACAACCACCATTTGTTAGCAAAAAACTATTTTTAGGCCCTAATTTGTACCCCATTCATAGTGTCGTAATGTACAGTTAATTGAGTAATTTCACAACTGTAGTGTTTTCTTAGTATAATGCATTTGATAAAATGTTCTTGTCCATTTACTAAAGCCCTCGCGGTTGCCTTCTTCCTCTTTGCAGTGCAGTGATGTGGACGGGATATGTCCTCTCAGCTGTGAGAGCGTTGTGAGTGAAGCTAATTGACTCTTCTTTGTGTTATCTTTATGTAATCTGAATCGTTGTTCTGAATCAGTTTACACGAACCGATTCACTAGAATGAATTCTGATCCAGTTCAACAAGGGAGATTGTCAATTCTAATCCATCTCTGTTTTTCACAGGATGTGAACTGTTACCTTGTTGACAATAATGGCTTCACACTGGTCTCAAAGGAAAAAGGGGATGTGAGTATTTTAAACAGTTCATTGAACACACATTGACCTTTTGTGACAACATGCCCCAACAGCATTTATTCACAGAATAGAAGCTAGAAGATGTTGACTTGTGTTAGGTGACGGCTTTAGCTGTGCTCAGGTGTTTCCAGTGCCCAGGGGGTTTGGTGTGAAGGGCAGGTGACAAGATGAGGACTCGATAATGTACCTCCAAAACATTTAACCTTTTCCTACTCGTTTTCTTATTCTTCTTCCCTTATTTACTCTGGTCAGCCAAACAACACAGATGTAAGTATTGCATTGTTATTTCTAAGGCATGTTCAACTAATATGGTACACTTTGGTGTCCCATTACTTTTTTAAGTACACACAACCCCCCACAAATTTAGGCATGCACCAAATTAGTTGCAATTTTTATTTACAACCACCATTTGTTAGCAAAAAACTATTTTTAGGCCCTAATTTGTACCCCATTCATAGTGTCGTAATGTACAGTTAATTGAGTAATTTCACAACTGTAGTGTTTTCTTAGTATAATGCATTTGATAAAATGTTCTTGTCCATTTACTAAAGCCCTCGCGGTTGCCTTCTTCCTCTTTGCAGTGCAGTGATGTGGACGGGATATGTCCTCTCAGCTGTGAGAGCGTTGTGAGTGAAGCTAATTGACTCTTCTTTGTGTTATCTTTATGTAATCTGAATCGTTGTTCTGAATCAGTTTACACGAACCGATTCACTAGAATGAATTCTGATCCAGTTCAACAAGGGAGATTGTCAATTCTAATCCATCTCTGTTTTTCACAGGATGTGAACTGTTACCTTGTTGACAATAATGGCTTCACACTGGTCTCAAAGGAAAAAGGGGATGTGAGTATTTTAAACAGTTCATTGAACACACATTGACCTTTTGTGACAACATGCCCCAACAGCATTTATTCACAGAATAGAAGCTAGAAGATGTTGACTTGTGTTAGGTGACGGCTTTAGCTGTGCTCAGGTGTTTCCAGTGCCCAGGGGGTTTGGTGTGAAGGGCAGGTGACAAGATGAGGACTCGATAATGTACCACAAGCTTGTCCTTGGAGCGAATAGATGGGGTCTCAAATGAGACGATGATTGAGAGAATGAGAATGGACCTGGTGAAAGTGGATTAGCTGGGAAAGGTTGCCACATCTTTTTAAATTTTATCTTTTGGGCTTTTATTTATAGGACAGTAAAGTGCATACAGAAAATAGGAGCATCAAAATGGAGAATGACATCCTTTATACAAATGAATATGATGCTTGCATACAATCGTTGACCAACAGAAGGCTGCTTGATTTAAAAGTAATTTCCGTGGGAGCTGTGCTTCATACTGTACATTGATACACTATTGACAATACACAATGGACTAATCAATGTGACCTTACCTTTATACATTCTGAGTAGCACACAACTTAGTTCAAGTTTACCAAAACAATTAAAACTTCCTGAAAATGTGCTCACCCTCTGGGCATTCAAGAATGAGATAAGTTTGTTTCTTCATTGGAACAGATTTGGAGAAATTTAGCATTACATCACCAATGGATTCTCTGCAGTGAATGGGTGCCATCAGAATGAGAGTCCAAACAGCTGATAAAAACATCACAATAATCCACAAGTAATCCACACCACTCCAGTCCATCATTTAACATCTTATAAAGTGAAAGGCTCTATGTTTGTAATCATTTGTGTTTGTAAATCCATTAAGTTTTTAACTTCAAGCAGCTGCTTCCAACTAAAATACAAGTCCTCTATCCATAATATTGCTTTCTCCAGTGAAAAAGTCATCTTGTCTGAATCAGGAGAAGAATATGGATAGATCAAGCACCATTTACAATCAAAAAACAGTACAAAACAGTTATAAACAAATATGTTGGTGGATTTTGATGTGAGAGAACTTTTTCACTGGAGTAAGTGTTATTATGGATTATGGACTTTATTTTGTATTTTAGCCAGAAGTGACATTTTAATGTTAAAATGTTTTAAAGGGGTCATATGAAGTGATTTCAAGTTTTCCTTTCTCTTTGGAGTGTTACAAGCTGTTTGTGAATAGATTAGATCCCTAAAGTTGCA